CATTTAAACAAATACATGTGCAATTAAGAATATGAAGGCTGAACCTTTGGAGGCACTGACTGACAACCAGGATGATAATGAAAAATGTGAGCTACAAATGCAAGCTGTCAGACATAACTTTTATTATGAGGCCATACCTCAGTTTGCCAAGTATTGATTAGATTCTTTTCTACAGCTAAATGCTGTAGAAAAGAAGTGCTTTGTTTTAATTGGAATATGAAAGGATCTAAAGATTTTGCAATGAGTTTACTGCCCCTAGCTTGCTACTAAATCAGACTTTGTGGTAAATGTTAAGATACTCTATGAAATGCAAATAAATGAATACCTGCCTACTAACTGAGTTGCCATCACAGTTTATTGTTGCTTGAAGGCTAGCACAATGCAGGATCCTAGGTCCCACAGAAGAAGTGATCAACTACTGTTCATCTCTTGCCATAGAAGTGGAATGCCTTAGAAACACTCCCAGTGTGAGGCTTCCCATCACCCTTTGAAGGTCAACTAACATGAAAAGTATCCTAGAAATTGCTATTGTGACAAAAAGATAAAACATTACTATTGCAATCTGTTTGGCATCCCAGTCCTTAACATTTGCAAGCTCCATTGTAATATTAGTGCTGCTGGCATATAAATGTCCTCTGTAGAAAGACTGTGGTGTCAAAGCAAGTCCCAGATTCGTGATTTAAATCAACATGTTCTTGGAATTGAGATTTTCTAAAATAATCAACAACCAGGATAAAATTGCTGTTGCTATGCCTGGTGTTCCAGTGACTAAAACTACCCTCATTACAAGGACATCAATTTGTGCTATTTCATCACATGAAATGGGACTCTTGAAAAGCAGGAGGCAATTTTAGGATGAAAGAAAATAATAAATTTCAAAAGAGACTGCAAATCACAGAAATTAATAGGTTATAAATCACAAATGTATGATACAAAATAAAGTAATCATAACTGTGGCTAAGTCAAACAGTTGGGTAAGGGAGGAAATTTACACCAAAAATTATTTCCCACCAAGTACACTTTTACCAATTTCTTTTTGGGATGGGTTACAAAAAAGGATAAGAACCTTTGGACTCTTTCTTTCTAACTACCGATATGCAATTATACTTTTCTCTGTGTTCAACCTCTAACCTATTCAACCTCACACCTATTCAGAGAGTGGAGACGATGTAGTATAGAAAAAATGTTCTTACTCTGAATTGATTTGTTACAGTTTCTGCACCATTCTCCATCCCCTGACCTAACACCTATTTAGAGAGAGGGCACAGTAACACAAAAAGGATCAGCTCTACTCAGACTTGGCTTCATTTACCTGACATTGACACACAGAGATACTCGGGTGAGTGATTCCACTCACCACAGCTGGGATCAAGCAGTGAGGAGGAACAAGGCTTAAACATTATGACAAATTAGTAATTGAGAGAGTGAACATAGTGAACATCATGTGAAGCCACTGAGAATAAGTCAGTGTTGGTTAGTTGTTTGCTCAAAAATGACAAGGCTGACAGATCATCAGCTTCGCTAAGGTTTCCAACTCTGAAGAGCTGGTGTGGTTAAGAATGTGGGACTGGGACTCAGATGATCTGGGTTCATGAAGCCAACTGCATGACTATGGGGCAGTCACAGGTTCTTGGCTCAACCTACTTTACAGGGTTGCTGTTGTGGGAATAAGACTGAGAGCAAGAGAAGAAGAAGGATATAATTTGCTTTGCATTTGTTGTAAGAAAAAAGTGGAATATAAATATATATATTTTTTTAAAAAATCTGCCTACCTGCTTCTGGGATGTATCCCAAAGGACTTGTAGGAAATGTCTCATTCTAAATTCCTTTTTCTCATGGTACATTATCAGCCTTTGTACTGCTGGTTCATTGAGTGCTTTGGCTGTGTCTCATCTTCATTGCCTCATGATGGAAAGTTTTCTCATCCCTCCCAGTCCACTTGAAGGATACTTAACTATAACTGTTTTTCCAATAAAAAGTGATAAAACCAAGCAAAGATAGGAGGGAAAGCACCCTCTCTGTCAGGTGGCAGGCAAGCAGGTAAAGGATAGAAAACTGCTTCTTGGGTAGTCATATTGTAGAGGGGTTAGCAGAAGCAGAGAAAGGAGCAATGAGTCAACATTCAAATACCATCTATGTCTGCCTGTCAATTGTGGCAATTCATTGCCTCATCACTAGCTCAAAGACAAGAACTGAGGCTGCCACGTCTTTACACACTTATTCACCTGACGAGCAGATGTCAGCTATGATCCAAGAGACTACATGCTCACATTCTTTCCAAATGGAAGAAGGGCTAGAGAGTATCTAGTTCACTTCTTTGAAAAGCTCCTATGTATGGACGGCAAAAGAAGAAGGGGACAACAGACAATGAGGTGGCTAGATGGAGTCACTGAAGCGGTCAGTGTGAGCTTAGGTGAACTCCGGGGGATGGTGGAGGACAGGAAGGCCTGGAGGAATGCTGTCTATGGGGCTGCAATGGGTCTGATGCAACTTCACGACAAGCAACAACAACCACAACATTCCCTTGATACTTCAGTGGTCCTGCCAAGGTCCCTTGTAAGCCGTACCCACTTGTTCCAAAGAAACGTCACCCTTTGTACACTGACTAGGGATGGGTCTTCCACTGCCTCTTCCCTTGGCTATGCACACTATCAGAATTATTCACTCTGGTGTTCGGGATTATCTTTTTCAGGTCACCTTCTCCTTCAGGGACTTCACACACCCCCTCTTCTTCTAGAAAGTTGGTGAATTATGGGCCACTAGGATCTGTGAAGTGGTCCCTCACCAAAGCTAATAAGAGTGGCACTCCTCCTTCTTTCACCCCTGGTAGATCAGGAAGAAGTATCCACTAAAGCTCAGCACCCACATCTGCCAGAGGTTTACCAGTAAGACTGAGGGACTACATTCACTTCTGCTCTAGATTAGCAGTTCCATACAAAACACTCTGTTGGGTAGGCCAGAATCTGAAATAGTTGCAGGTGGGTTACTGAATGCTTGGGCATACTGGATATGGGGAGCTATGCAGGACAGGTTCAGCACATCTTCATGCGCCTGGCATGAAGAAGAAAGAATCATATGTTGAAAAGTGCCAGATCTTCAGGGGATAATACCTGATTCTGAGGCAAGACAATCCTGCTGCCAGTGCTATAACCCATTGCCTGTCCCTTTGATCAAGCAGGATGGTCACCAGCTATCCTGCTTGTCACAGAATGGCATGGTGTATAGCACAGCCCCGAAACACCCTTTCTAAGTTGTGATTTCCTTAAACCTTTTCTTGAAGCCCTGAAGTTTCCCCTTGCATTAAGAGAGGCAGTACACAAAGCCTGGGGGAAAGGCAATTGTTCCTGGTGATCTGCAGATATTCCTGTGTCTCAAGATCTATTAATCTGCAAGTTCCAGAAGTATGCCTGAATGATACTGTTGAGCTCTCCTACCCTTTCTGGGGTCCAGATGCATTATGAGCCCACTCTTGCAATATTTGAATAATCTGGCAAAATTGTGCCCGGTTCAGCGAATACAACATTATCTATGGGATTCATCATAGGATGTTCTGAGAAATGTACTATGCTAGGCCACTGTGGTCCAACTGTGCCTGCTAGTATTTGGAGCAAATACCACAGTATTTCTGGGTTTCTCTGTTACCAGCCAGAGAGGAAAGATGATGGGCCACAGGTTCCCATGCACAGACAAGAATGTTAGCGGGGAGGATAAATGCAGGCTCTATTTACTAGGCAAGCAACTGTGGGAAGGCTTTATGAAAAAGATGTGTTAATCTTGGTGCAGATCTGTTGCACAAAAACAGTAAAATTATACGCATTAAATCAGTGCAATGCATTGTACAAAATGAAAGGTCAAAGCACTGTCTATATTACTTTGTACTGCCTTTCAGAAACGTTGAGCTAGGTATGAGGAGGCAGGCAAATGAAAAGAAAACTAAACTTGGAAGAACTGCAGGCTATTTCAAGGTTGCTGCATAGATTACAAACACAGAGTTCACCAGGGAAGGAGGTTTTGACAAAAATAGGGACATCTTTTTATTTTCACATCATTTTAATGTTTACATGATTTTAACTGGGGTTTTATTATCTTAAGTCATTGGCTGCTGTGCTGCTTTGTTTTATCTTATTCGTTTTTCATTGTAAGCCATCCTGAGATTTTAGTGGTGGATGGGTTAGAAAAGCTTTTAATACATAAACAAACAGTCTTTAAATAAATAGAAGTGATGGTGGTAAAAACATTGCAAGTGTTCCTGACATACTAAAAACAGATAATATTTATGTGAGATATCCTCATAGCAATTCTGTACATTGTACTGTATATGATAGGCACAAAATAAAAAGGGCAGGACTTCTTCATATTTTGCTTAAAATAAAATGCATATTGAAGGTCTGTCTGGTGTTGAGAAAGAAAAATACAGCAACCAGCAAGCCATTTGTGTCTTAAATGCAATATCACTATAGCCATTGATATTTCTAGTATATCCATGAAAACAGTTGCACTACTTCAGAAAAACCAGGTGGTTTGATGATTGTAGCCTTTGCATGAATACAGGTTGCAAAGCAGTTATCCTGCTATTTTTCACCAAAGGCTGTAACCTAGCAAGAACAGTTGCTGTGCAACCTCCATTTACATGAGATTGCATAGCAGTATTACCTACCGCCATAAGATTCTTCATTCTAAGAAGGGTTTCTGCTTACAAAGAAAATAGCAGGCTATTATATTAGCCTGAGGCCATTTAAATTAGTGAAGAGTGTCACACAGATTACTGGATACATGTGCTATTTCCATAAACTATGCTGGACAAGCTATTCCTGGGACAGCGAATCCGTTAATAATACAATGCATTCTGTCCTAATGTGAAGCAGAAGCTTGATGAACAGATGATAGGCCTGCTCTTGTAATCTTAGATAGCAAGCTGGTAAAAATCTCATGGCATAAAATTTCAAATTAAAAATGCAGGTGCTTGCATCTTATATGATTGACTAGCTAGATTATCTTACCTTTGGTTCCATTGAAATGAAGCTGTGAGTACCTCTACTTGAGAGAACTGACCTTTTAATTGTTTTACTGTGGTAGAAGTGGTAGTAATCCTTCAATGCTCCAATCTGTAGAGAGGGAAATGGTGCAGAGGGAGAAGGGAGGAGAGAGGGAGAGAGAGAGAGATTTAATTTATGAAAAACAGTTTGTCTGTTTTTCATTTTTAAAAGGTCTATAAATTATGCAATTTCCTGCTGTACTGAAATGTTACTTGAACCTCGGTGCTCATCTTTCAAAAGGATGACATATGATATGAAATAGATGGACTGTCCTTGAGGCAGTAACTGTATAACCAAAGATTATGACTGAGCTGCTTATTCTGTCTGTATCTGTCTTTTAATGTCTAATTTATATGCAGCATTTTAAGTAATTCTGTTCCAATCTGTATCCAAACTGTCTTCACAAGAAAAGTATAAAAATAATCAAATCACAATAGGGTTATTAAAAAGCATCCCATCTAGTACGCTCAAGGAAATTTACTGTAAAAGGCACTATTCGGTTACTTATACATAAGTTGCAGGGGAGGGGGAGGGGGAAATTCAAGTATAACAAGGAATATATTTCAGCAAAACCAACTAAACTAAGGCGTGGTTGGGCAACTGCTCACTGACAAGAATTCCTCCGGGAACTGTAACTTCTCTGCAGCATTGCAACTGGCTTGCTCACCGGCCTCTCAGCCCAGACAGTAACAGTGAGAAGATGGAGGTGCTGTCGATGCTGCTGCCTTCTTGCTCATGGGTTCACTACTTGTCAAGCAAGCAAGTGTAACAAGAAGAAAGAGGTCAAGGACTTTAGTAGGAACATTAACAGCTGGCGGTGCAGATGCAGACTCTCAAGTGAAGGGGGCTATCAAGGTGTCTTGCCCAAAGGCCCTCAGAGAACTAGAGCCAGCATGGCATACTTGGTGGAATTTTGGACAGTAGAAAACAAATAATGTGAAATATTCATTCCTTTTATGAAAATGTAGAAAATGGGCAGACAAGTTGACAATTTTAAATTAAGTAATGGATTATGATTCCTTTGACCTTGCCTCTGAAATCCTTTATGCATTTCTAGTGATAGTAATGGATAGAGTAAAGAACTATTAGATTTAACAAAAGTGAAGTGAAATTAAGACAGAACAATTCTAATTTCATTTTATTCTAGAGTCCTACACAGCTTCTTCCTTGCATATCTCCCTATTTTATAAAATTACAGGTGCCACATAGACCTCTACATTTAAACTCTAATCCTTTTGCAGAGTGGTGCATTTTATAAAACAGATTATTAAACTGAGAGAAAGGAAAAAGAAGGATTTGTTAGGCTGCTGGTAGGTGTTGCTAGGCTTCTGTATATTCTGCGTCACTGACAGGTTCGATGATCAAGACACTAATACAGGTGACATAAAGCATGCAAAGTGTTAGCAGTGTCTAACTGCTACCTGATGACATTTCCCTTGAACTTTTCTATAGGATATTCTATTAAAAAAACAAGCAAGGAAGTGCTTTCTTGTACTGGCATAAAAACTAGCTTTCACAATTATCTAATCTGACAGCAATAAGTCACATAGATAATTTATTTTCAGTCGCTTATGTAACAAAATGAGGTAAATTAATTTATATGTGTTTGTTCACAATAATCAAGCCAAAAAAAAAAAAACCCATGAACTTATGGACTGAACTTGACAAAGAAACTTATTTTACTGGACTTTTATGAGGTTTATTTCTAAACTTATTTATAGTTTTAGAATTCTACTTGTCCGCTAATAAATACATAAATAAGGCTAACAAAGATTAACAATACAGCAATCCTTGCTCTCTCAGGCCTAAAGATCTAAAATGAAAGGCAACTGGGTGGGAAGAGGAGGAGCAAACAAAGAAAACTTAGGTAAAAGTTCTTCATTTCAAAGTTACTGCAGGTGTCCCTTCTGGCAGGGAATGGCAAAATAAGCTCCTTGAAGCCATTGCTTCTCTGGCCAGTGCAAAGGGTTATTCTCCCTAACTATGATGTTCTTCCTGGGAGGTACTGGGGAGGAAATGCAGGCTCTCCGTCACCCTTGTTTCTCTGACTGATGGATGAGACTGGAGTCTACAGCTCCTGGGAACTGTCAGTTGGAACTGTGCATCCCTTTTGGGAGGAGGGGTTCTATTCTATACAGATTTTGGTACAAGAACTTGGGGGCAAAGTAGAAAATATGTCTTTGTTCCAGCTCTGCTTTTCATACACTATAGTTATTAAGTCAAAATATGCAATGCAGTTTAATCTGCTAGTATTGCCTCTCTCCAATTTTTAGCTCTGCATGGATGCAAATTTGAGACCAGGTATCCTCACGTACACTCACACACAGGGAGAGAGATTAATGCAGACTTTTGAATCAGCATCTGTTAATGGGCGCTTATGGTCTTTTTCTTCACAATTGCAATAGCCATGGCATTGGATCCAAGGCATGGGCTCCATACAAAGAAGTGTGTCCACCCTGCACCACAACCCACCCCCTTCGGCAGTGAGCCCTGAACTGCCGGGCAGCATTTTCATGGAGTCATAAGGACCATGCAGAGGAGTAAGGAATAAGTGAGGAGATCTGCTTTTTCCAGCGCAGTTGTATGTGCCTAAATCTGGATCTATCTCATGATATTTTGTTACTGATTTCCCTCATGAAGTCACTCATCCTTCAAAGATCCTGCTGAACCATTAAACATAAAGCAGTGCTATCTTGATTTCAGTTTAAGGAATTCTAAAGCTCTCTTGGAGAGCCAATTAGCTGTGAACTCTCAAAGGAGTGGCTTCTCATTGTTCAGAAGCTTTTCATCCCATCATTAATAACAAATGAATGGTGGTGGTGGTGTGGGAGGCAGGTGTTAGGGCAAGGCAAGTGAATTCATTTGGAGAAATGACGCTTTGGATGCTGGCCACTTGAGAAGCACTGGGCAGCTTACTCCACACTCTGAGAATACTCTCGTCATGGCTCTCATACACACGGAGAGTCAGGGTAGCATCATGGTTAGGATGCTGGGGCTGGGACTCACTCACAGGGTGATTTTGGGCCAGTCACTCACTCTCAGTTTACCCTATGCCAGAGAGTTGTTTTGAGGACAAAACAGAGAAGAGGAGAAGAAGAAGGATGATGTAAGCCACCTTGGGTTCTTCACAGGGAGAGATATAATAAATAAATGAATAAATAAATAAGTCAGTCAGTCAGTCAGTCTGATCGAATCCTTGGACTATGTAAGTTTTGTTGATGGTGGCAAAAGTACAGCCCTGAAGAACACATGTGAGGAAAGAACGTGCACTCTTCAGGAAAGGGAAACACTATAAGGACAGAGGTAAGCAGATTAAAGGGTGGAAGGAATTGACAATCAGAACTATCTGACTGAGAAAACACAGTTCAAGGGATCAGACTAGACAACTCTGAGGGCATTTTCACCATGATCTCTGGGGGAGTGGGAAGAAGTACTTTTTCTTATTTTCTCTCTTATTTTCTCATATAATTGTAGTACAGCACCTAAATGCCAGAGGAAAGAGCAACTCACTATCATGAAGACTGATGCATAGCCTGATCCTCTACATGTTTACTTAAATCTCTCCATGTTCTATGTGGCTTACTCAGTGTGCATATAGGATTGCAGCATTTTCAATATTTTCCACTTCAGAAAAAACAAGACTGCACAAGGACATACTTTATGTGCATTAGAGTACCATCACAGTGGAGTATAGCTGTAAATAAAACATAAATGGGTAAGCATACCCAACCTATGTCCATTCCCTATATTTGATTTTACATCCAGTGAGATATCTGATATATCATTACTGACCTTGAAATGTCAAAACCACTGGCTCTGAAATTTCAGAAAGCATGTGTTGATTATCTTGCTTAACTGTCAACAGAAACAGCTTAAGCAGCCACTAGATTTGTTATTCCACTTTCTTAGGCTTTCCTAGCACTTTCCAGTGTCTTGATTATGTTATCCTTA